GATATCATTCCAAGTGAAGCAGTTTGTAAAGGACTTAAAACTTATTTATTGTAGAATTTAATTTTTTAAAAAAAGTTTATTAACCACTTACTTTCCCAGTACAGTAGTTATTACTTTTAAGATAAAAGCACAACTATGAAAAAGTGTACACTTTTTCTTGCTTGCTACGAGCATTAGTAAACTTCAGATATATATGATATAAAGATTTTTTACTTTTTAAAGATCTGTTTAAGGCTGGTATCTCCAGCCTTATGTACGAAGTTATATCCCCTTCCCTGTACTTTATTGTCTCTACGGCTGGAGTGATGCCCTTCGTGGTTCTATATTTATTATTAGTGACATCACCTGGAACAAACACGTTTTAATTTATTGTCTAAAAAACTAAAGGAAGGTATTCATGCCTCTTAGCCTCAGAGTAACTTAACCTGCTTAATCTAAATTTCTGCATTGTGGAGTGGAATTGAAAAGGGGTGGTCTTTCAAAAAATTTAAGACCTCTCGGGCCATCTCTTTAACATAATGATAGCGATATCTACGTGTTTCCAGCGTTTGACATTTTCCCTTAAAAAATTTAAAATATTATCTGATAAATATTTTAAAGCCGTTACTATACTCACTTTTCTACGGTATATCTAAAAATTGTGCGGGGATATGGTCAAGGTTTTAGTTATTATATTGTTAAGTTGTTCTTCATATTGACTAAAACATAATTACCCCTTTGTTTATGGTAAAACATCCCACTTATAATGTGAGAATTTCGCACAAACCAAGGTGCGCTTGTAAGCATGCTAAAAAGATTGTTTTAAAGAATTTAAATACTGTTTATATGCAAAGTATAAGTAATTTACTTTCCAGACTCAAATAACTTCTTTTGAATATAAGAGGATATAAAGCGGAAGTTATCTTGACTTAGGGGCCTTCCTGCTGCCTGGGCTTCGTCGGTGGAAATTCAGCGGCATTTCTTTAGCGGCAGAGCGAAAAATTATATAAGGGGTCTTTTCAACTCCTTATATACCTTTGCTTCTTTAGACTCCTGGTTTAAATTAGAGTCAATAATAATGCCAAGGTATATTACTCGATATTGCACCAAGGAGTGGGTGTTCGCGATAGCGTTAGGGCTTTACTTTCCCCCCCTTTTTTTCCCCTTTTACTTAAGATCATCGCATGGCCTTTGGAAGGGTTTATTTTAATTTTCCTCTTTGCAATTCATTTTCTAAGTGTATAAAAATAAACTTGCACACAATTAATAGCTAAAGAAGTTGATTTGAACTACAATATATGGAAGAGTCGTGAGCCTACAGAGCTAGGGAGGTTTAGTGGGTAGGAGGTGGAATGTTGCATGCATATAGGTAGAGTAATAAAGCTGACAGTAGAGAGCCCTAAGAAGCTCCAATTTTAAGGATCTTGGGGGTGGACAGGACTTCTATTAGTACAACAAATGATCTATTGCAAAGCAATGAATACAGCACGTGCATAAGGTTTTCTAGCCACTTGTATATAATTAACTTTTAAATAGGTTTGGGGAATAGTGAATGTTTAAATTGTGGAAAGTATTGAATTAAGCAATTTTGCAAACACAGGGGGTCGATAGTTTTTAGCATATCTGCTAGTATGGTTACTTATTGGTATGAGAATAATTTCTGGTTGTTTTCATCTTGTAGGAAAGTAACCCTGATAAATAATAGAATTGATCAGTTTTAAAAAATAAACAATTGACAGTGACATTCGATTGATATACCATCAGGGCACCTACTTTTACTAATTTAATTTCATCATATTCAGTTTAAACCTCCTTTTCATTTTTAAAACCTTGAGAATTAATAGGTAATGCATATTTGCCGAAGAAAGATAGTATTTAATTATGCGCAAAGTATTTATTGGATTAAAGATAGCGGAGGGCTTGAAATGAGCTGATAAACTTTCTGCAAATATGTTGGCCTTCCTTATTGAAATAAGCGATTTCTCTTTTATCAATTATTCTTCTTTGAGTTTTATAAGATTTTGGCATTTGCCATATGCAGTTATCGGAAGGGTTTAAAGATCTTAAATTTATACCCCAAAGGTTATCTATTTAGTTCGCGTTTAACGGTTTCCTTATTTGTTAAAGGTTAACTTGTCACATGGGACTCGTCTTTTTAGGAATATTCTTTTTAAAACGTCTATACCTTTATCGCTGGGTTCCTTATCCCGTAATTGGTAGGTGAATATTTTATAACGTAAGTGGTGACGAGGGGTTTGACAAACCCCTTAAATAAAAATGTTTTTTTTTTGAGGACAAATTGGGAGGGACCTTTTTAAATCTACTTTTTGTTAATTTAGGATCTTTTATGACTGCATATGTAAAATTAAAATTCTAAAGTTTAAAGATTTAAAATTTTAAGTGTTAAATAGAATGCATACAAAATTGACTATTTGTGTTATTTTAATAATAGAACAAATTGAAACATAATAAGCCAACGCTGTGTAGGTTATAACACTTCTAATGAAGTATTAGAAAACAACCTAGCATATATAAACAATAACTATTTGATAAAATCTGTTGAATACTATCCACACAACGACTAACATTACAGCCGCCGCATATTCGAGTGTCTCAACAATACTATATTCTGTCTTTCTGTTTTTGTTTCTTAGACATTTGCCACACCTAACTTGTCTTTCCTTAAGTTGTGGACGATGGCTGGTTATGGTTCTTTGTGTATTTGTGAGATGTTCAGTCGCAATTTACGAGGAAAACGACTATTCGGGGTTTTGGCAAACCCCAAATTATTAGACTAATAGGACTATAGTTTGAGATTAAAAAATTATTTCGCGGCATGCGTGACACCGGTAGAGAGCGAACTAACTGAAAAGTATACAGACTGTGTGCGATCTCCCGCTTCCTACAATCATGTCAACAATCTTAATTTAAGTGCAGTTTGACAAATCACCTTACCAGTTAGGTGTTAAGGCGAGAAGGAAGAATATAGTTAAAGTTTTTGCAACTTTAGAGTTGGTGATGTGTTTACTGTGTAAATTACCGTGAACTCAAAGAAGAGAGAGCAGCATGAGTTTTAGACAACAGGAAGGAATTGAATAGAGTGGTGAATTATTAACCACTGACCTTTTAAAAGGTTCCTGTTGGTTACTTCAAAACCCCTCTTTGTGTTGGCTCGACTTGACCGAGTCCTGACCTGATGATAATTTGAAAAGGTTAGTAATGTGCCCAGGAGCCAATGTTCTTGAGTAAAGCTACGTCTGACACATCAACGGAGCCTTTAATTAAGCGATGTTTAGGTTCAAAGGAGTTAGAAGCAAAATTTCATCCGCCCGATATTCCATAATCTTGCCAGTTGGATTGTCCTTCCCGCCTTTCCATTGAGAAAGCTTGCTATACAGACCTCCACAAACAATGACCTGACTAGTGTGTTGTTAATAATATATCTAAGTCCTTTTTTTATGATTCTTTCTCACTTATAAAAGGAAACGATATTCGCTGAAGCAAGTTTTTTTTAACGTGAGCACACGGTAGAATTTAGGTTTTTAAATTTCAGTATATTTAATTAAAAGAATGTTTATATGTCTCTTAATAAGTATAACTATATCACCTCCCATATCCTCCCGAACTGTCGATATATTTTATAATTTGATATGTGAAACTTACTACCGTTTTTTTAAAGGGATTCCGATATTAAAATGAGGTCAATATTTACTCTAGTGGTCAACCCCTGGAGTCACGTTTTTTAGCCCGTATGCCCTTGGCATTCCAGAAGATGAAGATTATTACTTGATGATTTCATTGCGCTTATCAAGTTTAAAAAATAAATAACTAATAGTTTTCGATATTGGAGTACTTATCGCTACAGTTAAAAATTTGGCTATTTGTTTAAGAATGAGTTCATCGAGATTTTGCCGAAAGTTGGATATATTTACTATTTAATGCTTAAGCGGTAGCTTTTCGCAGGAAATACCACGTTCTTCCGCGTTTGAGATATAGGGTTATAGAATAGAGTTGTTTCTTCTAAAAGGCGCATTTTAGGGTAATACAACCTAGCTTGTAATGTGTTTACCTAGACAGTATAGACATTTGGGTTTACCTCTTTAGGTTTAGGGCGGGACTGGAATCGTGGTTTTCTGCCCATTTAACGCACGATACTGGAAAGTGCAGAATTTATCGGTATGCTCGATTATTCGGCATGTTAGGGTATTTAAACTTTTACCGACAGGTATCTAAACCTTTACGTCTTTTAAAATTAATTGTAAACACAAATGTATATATGTATATGAGATGTAAAGTTGTGACTAAAACAAAAAAAGCACTAAAAAATTGACATGACTGCTAGTTTATTTTTCGTGAACTTTCATTATATACTAACCACTAAGGAATGAAATAATCAATAATAATCATAAAATTGCCTAAAAATGGTAATTTGCGTTAAAACTTATGAACTGGGCTTTTCCTCAACTTGGCATCAAAAACATTGACCAATTCTACCGAAACGAGAACATTACCAATGTTTTTTCCTTTAAATATAGTGCTTTCTTTTTTAGGTATTTTTACTAATACGAGGGCCAAAATTCTGTTTTCATCATATTTTCCCATTTTGGTAACTTCAGTGGAATGAAAGCCTTAATTTTCCATTATTTTAACTTCTATATTCCTTTCAAGAAATATGCGAAAGACAACTTCAAGATCTTTTTAGGAGGGGAGGCGATAAGTTTAATACTCGAAGTTTTATGAAGCTAGGTCTTGCTCAACCGTAGGCGTAAAAACCCTATCCTAATTCATGCTCTCAATTCTGTGCTTTAGGGATTTCGTTGGAGTTTATTTTAATTAAATAAAAAAAATTTGCTCCAGTAGACCCTTTTGCGTTTCGTAACAAGTATAATTTAACTTTAGTTGTATTATTTATATTATTATAGTTATTATTACTATTATCATTATTATTAGTTGTATTGTTATTATCACTACAGTTATTATTACTATTGTTATCGCTGATAGTATGACTATTACCGGTTTCATTAGTGTCCTTATTATTAGTACTATCCTTGTTAATACACCCATTATCGCTATTTTTATAATAAAAGCGGTATCAAAAATCCCAGGTTAGTTTCCTTGCTAATACTATTATTTGTACAGATTATATTACAATAATTGAGGTTATTTTTTTATCAGAATTAACAATATTATTAGTACTTTTTATAACGACATTCAATTTCGCTCCTCAAATATATCTATTTTATGCGTATCCGAGACCATTTCAAAGTTTGAAGAGCGGTATATGAGTTAGAATCAGGAACTATGTTATTATTTAAAGCAACAGCTCCTTTCCTTCTTTTTATAAATTTTTAAAAACCTTTTTTTTTAAACTGCCATACTTCTGTTTTTAAAACTTCTAGCTACTTCTACTTCTTAAGTTCTTTGTTTGCGGCCAACAAAGTGGCGATAAGTTCTTGTTCTTCGCTCTAAGTAGAAGTGAGATCTATGAGAAGGAAGAATAATAAAAAAAGTATTAAAATAAAATTAACAAGAATAATAATAAAGATAATATTAGCGATAATAAAAAAATATATAGATATAAATAATATTTTTCGAAGAAAAGTTTTGCTAAGGAAGCCGAGTATAAAAAAAAGCGTTTTTTAGTTAAATCATTAAATTTCCTGGGATGCTTTAATTTATACCCTCTACTTAGCTTGTAACCATCACACGGACAATGATATTGTGCGCCGCCCCATAACTGGAAAGTGGGTTCTTTTCGGTCGTTTAGCGTCTTCAGCTTCCCGACCATAAAGGCAAAAGGTATTGCTCTTAGAGGTTCCGAGGGCCAGCGGCTCAACCTGTAGTGCGCCGAAAGTGTATCGTTGCGCACAAACCACGATGCGTTTGCTAAAAAGTGCAGCAGTAAAATGCTACGTCGATAAGTCGAAGACCCAGACAGCAAAAGCGTTTGTCATACCAGCAAAATTAAACTCATACAGCCCTCGCTCATTGAGCGAAGAAGCTTACTTTACTGCGCAATAGGGAGGATATAGCATTCTGATCGCCACTTTGACCTATTTCTCTACTTATAATTCTCATGCCGACGCCGCGACAGCTGGACTCAATGAAGACACCTTAGTATTTTCGCCTTAGAGCACAACGATGTTGGCAGCCTAATGAGATTCTTTGTATTAGAATTTTGGAGTGTGAGAGGTTATATACGTAACCAGCAAAACCGAAAAAGAGAGTTAAGTAGGTGGGAATGGAACCCACGAGGTTAAGTATGCGCTTCAATCCATTTACCGCTGAGCTACGACGAATACTCCAACCCAGTATGATGACAAGTATTTAATCTCTTATTGCGTTATAAGAGGCCGCGTTCTTTGCTCCGTTTACAAAGAGGTCCTAATATCGACACCAGCTAGCAAGCTCTTCAGGACAAAGCTGTAGGTGCTGCACGCAGTAAAACCTGTAAATTTGTCGACATATAAGTCGTATCATCAGCCTTAAGAGCTACCCGCTTGAGAGGGTTGACCGACAAAGGCGTGTTGCTCGTATGAAGTGCGAAAAAGCACGGTGATTAAAAAGAGCTTTGCAGGACTCCCGCTGTGAGATGGATAGAAGGCGAGAGTGCAACATCCACTCGCACGCTGAAGAACTGGCCGTTTAGGACAAATCTTAATGAGGCGTGTAATTGGAATAAGTGCAGCTTGTTGTAACAGATTTTCGTGCTATTCTCGGTTAAGTTTTCTCCTCGTCGAAAAAGAGAGCGCCAGTGGCTTCTTTAAATTAAAAACTCTATTCGCCCACTCAATCAGGAAAAAAGTTGTCGGGTCGTTGATACCCTGTTCGAAGTTCAAACTCAAACTGGTAAAATCTACGTCGTCTTAACTTTGACTGACAAAAGCTTGACGGGTCAATATTTGTGATATCCTGTTGCTTGTTGCTGTGGGAGATTAAAGGTTAACCCGGCAATTACACTATAAACAATGAGTTCGCAACAAAGCTGGTAAAAGAGATGGAAGGTATGCCAAGTTTAGTAGTATCCAGCGAGGTCGTTTACACGTTGAGTTAGCCCTAATTATATTATTTGAGGGGTTGCAATTATGTATATATTAATTTTATTAACGTGGTCGCTGTGCTGTTTACACAAAAACAAAGACGGAGTTATAGTTTGACATCCATTTTACTCTATTAATATAGTCAACTTTATTAACTATATTATATTTCAGCTACATCTGCTGACTTACGATTAGCATACACTTGTAACAACCTTAAGCTGGTTCATTCCTCCTTGCTCAAGCTAATGCTAAAGTTGACACTTCATGTAAAATAACCAAATAATGGAGTGATGGATAGCACCGATGACTTTGGAGATTTTGAGGAAGCTATCTATACAAAAGACTTTTTTTATCCCGCTTATGATAGTAAAAAAGATATTTTAGCCTCAGAATTAGAACCACCTTCAAATTTGTCACCTTCCCCAATCTCTCTGAACACAAAAGAAACACTTACCGAACTTCTACATAAAATATTATCTTCTGGTAGGGATACACTTTTTAATTACTTTCGTAGTCTCATAGATAATTTTTTTTATCAAGAGAGTAAAAAAAAAGGTAATAGCCCAGAGACGGATTTGCAACTTTCAAGAGATGAATATTCTGACTTAAAACACACTTATTTTCTTGACAATGATAGTTTAAATTTTTATATCGAAAACAACGAATTATGGAACCGAATTAAAAAATTTTCAGCACCTTCAAAGCTAATTCAAAGAGTTCAGCATAGATCTACTTCACTATACGAATCAAGAATCTATTCCTCCTTACTTGAGAGACTTAACTTAAGTCGGAAGCTTAGAGATGATTGTTACCATAATTCTTTTTTGACTGCTGGAACGCCTACTGTTTTTAAAGACAGAGTCTCTCCTTCTGCACTTAATTTTAGTGATAATAATAATGATAGTAACTGTATTGATCCGCCTATTAAATTTTTAAGCCCTCCTATTACCAATAATACTGATTCTACTTCCCTACTTACTTTGTCTAATATATTTGATTTTGACTGCCCGAAAACCACTGTCGATAGTGAGGAAGAAAGAGTGAACGAAACCTTTTCCATTACAGAAGAAAATCTGAGCAAGCTCACAATAGGACAACTGAGTGAACTTAGGCAACAATTAGAAAAAGAAACTTCTTCTCTTTTGCTCGAGGATGCCGAGTTACAACACTTGAGCACTTTACTTGAGAACGAATACATACTCAAGTGTAAGCTTATTGGGACACTACTTTCGGTTATTAAAAAACGAACAACTAAATAAGAAAAAAAGCTTTATGCCTTCTGAGGCTATTTCTGGCCTTATTCAACCGACTTGCAAAGCTACACTAACCGGCATCCGTAAAAACTTAAGTAACAACAATAACTCCCGGAAAAGCAGAATTAGTACTACTCTCGAAATCCCTTTCAAAACAGATCAAAGCACCACCTCTCTAGCAGTGTTGCAGTCCGTCTTGGACTTGTATGTAAAAGAATCACCAAAATTTTACGAAAAACTTCAGGGAATACAAGAAAATATTTGAATAAAACTGCTTGGCCTAAACTTTTATCAACTTAAAAGTACTTTGAAAGATTTTATTATAATAAGTTTGAATTAATATATTTAAAACAGGGTGTCTTCTTCTTTAATTGTTTCTTTAAAAACAACTGAAAAAGTGAGTCAGTGCCGGTCGTAAACAGGAAAAGGGACGCTCCCACAGACTCGGTTTAGGTCACATTTATCACTATCACGAGCAAGATGATCGTAACTAGAGCAAAGGCCACCAAGTACCACAAGATCTTGCTAGCAATAGCTCTAGAGAAAAAAAAGTGTGTAATAAAGAAATTAGTTTTTTAACAAAAGACCTTCTCCACATGGATCTTGTTAGCCGATCGCTCTGGCTGAGATGTAAGTTAGTATCGTCCAGCTAAGCAAAGTTAGTAGGAAATTAAGGTCGCAAATATAATGATCCACCAGACGTGTCGTGCGTTCTAATCCTTCCCGCTGACTGTGTAGCTCTTCTAATATATCGAGCCCGATCGATTCTTATATCAAATTTCGTAACTACTTATGAGTTAAAAAAATCAATATGACAAGAACCTGTTTCTAAAGCTAAACGCTCGCTATTTAATAGTCTATCGCCCCTTTTAAAATATTTAAAATAGTAAAGTTATAAGTTAACATTATTTATTCAACAAAAAAAGTATAATAACTCACGAGGTCAGTAGCAAGCTATGCGAAGACAGCAAGTGCTCCCGATCTTTGTCCAACAAAGCAGGTTCATAATCTTCCTGAAGATAACTTATTATTGTCAAAGAACAAAAGCGCACAAAAGCTTACTAAAGTATCGGAATACTCGTTGCTAAAATCAAAGGATACGGCCCTGTTGCTGCTGAGTTTAGACTTTAAAGAATTTAATTGTTACAAAGTTTTTGAGATAAACATAGTAACCAATTGTTTCTTAGACAATTCTAATTCCGCTATTATTTTATTATATCTAGCTTGTAATCTAAAGCGGTGTCCCTCTGGTTGCTGTTTAAGCTCGAAATCAAGCTTTTGAACCTATATATATATAAATAAAAATAGTTATAAAAGGTGTATATAACTTTCAACTGTCTAGTTATTAATAATTTAATATAGGAGCTTAAGCAAACAAGATCCTCCAATTCTTCAAATTTTCTCTTTGAGTTAGATACCAAAGTTTTCTGCTTCTCTAAAGATGAAATATAATTAACGGTTTTATTTATTGACCGCCTCATTATAGAGGAAGGCATCTTTTAACTTGACGCTGGAAAAACTAAAAAAACGTATCAATGAGCTCAAGAAAGAAATGTCATAATAAAACGATTTTCTGTGACGAATGATGGCAAATACCTTCGCAAAACAAATAAACACTATATGTACCTCCAGAAGAGGAACTAATTTGCTTTATTGTTAAGTTAAGTGAACCAAGTAATGTATGAATTTCGAACTCGCAATCTTCAAAAGCTTCGGACGACATACTAATATAGAGCACGTTCACTCAACATGAAAGAAGAGCTAACTTTAACGTTCAGCAACTAGAAAGCAGGTTTTAATATTTTTTTTTACAAAAACTGAAGCTGGTTAGGTGCACTACCATTTGCTAGCTTACATTAGATAGGAGCAACCGCCAAATATATTTTTTTGGCGGCGAGATAAAATAATTTTGTTCAAAGCAAAATTTTATTGCTATGAAAATTATCTTTAAATAGTTTCCGAATACAGAAACAAATACAAGTAAAGAATCTATAAACGCAGAGGAAATCCATTTTTGTAGTATTCAGGTAAGAAGCATACTAAACTACTAAGTAATTTAATATTTACATTAGGTTTTAATACCTATTATGAGTGGATTTTTACATGTAAGGAAAAATTTAGGTAAGACGAGCTAAATTATATTCAAGTTATATATAAGTCGACCAAAAATAGGGTAGGTTACGCCTCAGAGGGCAGGCTATGAGCGGAGTAATTTTTTAACTACGAAGTATGGTTTGTAAGTTTGGGAAGTGTTTTTAAAGGATTTCGAAAAAAACTTTAAGCCTTTTGTTGTCGACCAAGTAAATAGTTTGAAAAGTAATATGCTAGTTATTAATTTAAATGGAGTCCAGAGAGCGAAATTGCTGTGAACTAACAGCGACTTTGCTACACCAGAAATGGTTTAAATATTCGTTGAAGATCTTTATAAATTACTAAATAGAGCATGAAGTTTGTTGAAGGATGGTACACCAAACTTATTCTAATTATAAAAAAAATAAAAGTCAAGTGGCTGTTAGAAAACATGCGTATATTTGAGTAGTTTAGCGAGTTAGAAAGTGACCTAAGTGGTCATAATAGGAAATTATACCAAAAACAGCTACCCACCCGACTTGTGGATGATTGTATATTCTGTAATGAAGCCTGGTAACTATTACAAACGTTAAAACATGAAATATGGTTTTATAAATTGAGAGAGAATTAACAGATCGTGTAGTAGAGAAGCTCAAATATCGAGTTCGAGCTTTTATGAATGTACAGAAACCCGAAAGCAAAGAAGAGTGAGCAGCAGATTTTAGTAGGCATGGGGCACCCCACTAAGCACAGTTTTACAAAAACTCTTGAGTGGTTTTATAAATAAAAGTGTTAAGTAGAAGTAAACCTTAGATGATTTAAGGGTAAGGCGCCCAAAGGAATGTTGATAAAATTATGATTTTTTCTAATACATATTAAAATGCGAGAATGCTGGGATGGGAAGGTAGCGTTATGGCGGCAGGTAACTCTCATCTCATCCTAACTGAAACTGAAATTAATTGCAGCAAAAAGATTCTAGCATAACATACCAAAAAGGCTCTTAAAGTGGCATGACATACCGATAAACTAAAAATTTTTAGTAGGCAGAGCAGCTAGAGACTACTAGTGGAAACGGACCATAATAACCTTTTTGTTCAATAAGGAGTGTGATTGTGAAACAATAAATGATAACAAAGTTGATAATGTGAACTACTTACATAAATTCAAATTAATAATTGAAATAAATTAATGTTACCTATTTTATTCCAAGAAAATTATATAATAATTTATTTAATTTACTTAATTTTGTTAATTTTTATACAAGTTTTAATTAATCGCATGGTTAAATTATAATTTATATTTGGCTTCTCGTTAGGCAGTTTGTCGATACTTTTTCTTTTGTCCAACTTAGTCAGTTTAGAAGGAACTGTCTAATTTAAAGTTTAGAGAAAAATTGTAAAATTTTAACAGTGCTTTTATCTTAAAAAACCAAAAATAGTTATGCGGACGCCTATGATATATAAGTTGTGAAGTGAATATTTTTGCAGTAACATTATCTAGGCGGTTTAAGTTATATGAAAAACGGTCAGGTCGGTAGAGAGAAAGCCAAGAATACCCAATGCTAACGAGAGAATTTAAAGCAAGAAGAAGATTGTACAATCACATAAAGGTTTTTTCTTTATGCAAGCTAACTGAACAGATCAAGCCTGTACGCCTATATTTAATTTTAATATAAGCACTGCAACAGGGTTGGCAGTCATTAGTTATAAAAGAAAAGACGAAAATAACAAAACTGCTTCTACTTACATTAAATGTTACAGTAAGTCGCCTAACGCTTTAAAGACTTTAAGAACCTTAAACCTCTATAATGAGAGGTGCTAGACAAAAAAATTAACTGAGAAAACTTTAAGCTCTATACCATTAAAAGCTGGAGTGAGTGAAGAGATGATGAGCAATCAAAGCATTAGCGACCAAGTCCCCCGACATAAAGTAATTACGATGTCTTATCGTGTGGAGGTAATAGTAGCAATAAATTGGTTTCCAACTATTGGAACACCCAAAAAACACACGAAGGAAAGTTTCTATTGCCTTCAATTTAATTTAATATATGGAGCAAATGGAGTAAAAGGTAAATGGGGTCATGTTAAAATAAAATTGGCGGCTAGGATATATTAAACTGCGTATATTAGATTATGGACAAACAGATTAGTAAACTGTACCTACTTATTTTGTGCTCGTAAACACCTGCCACAACCATACTTATACCCACGCTAAATAATGTACTAATATTTACTCTTATTCCACTTTTGTGCAAGCAGTTGTTAATTTTTACATAATTTTAACATAACTAATTAGAGGACTGCACTTAGGATCTAATTATTTTACGTGGCGTGGTGAAGATGTTCAAGTCTTGATGAGTCACTGAGGTAAATAAATAAGTATCGATTCCATGTGTTCTCAATGATTTTCTTAAAATTTTGTCAGTTATTTATAGTTTTAAGACCGTACTTTTTCAATGGGGCAACGTTAAATTTAATAGTTCTTTGGCTATATCTGGCTGGTTATAAGGTTTTTGAAGATAAAAGTCGCGAAAATGTGTGATTGGAACAATGAAATGATGAATTTTAAAAGTTTAAGGTATAAAGGAAGAAAATAAAGCCAGGTGGCAATGAACGTAGAACTAAATCGTAGGGAGGGGAACTAAAACGAGGATATACTAAGTTTTTAAGTAAAATCTTGACCTGTTTAAATTTTTTTTGAGCTTTTGGACTCTTAAATAGGGCACGCCTTTTAGACGTTAAGCTGCTATTATACTATCCTATGGGCAATTATTGAAAACTCTCTGTTCGACCCTATATATTTTATTTGCCTCTAGACAATAAAGCTATCACTTATTCACAGTCCGAGAGCCTGATGGAATGCCACAAAACAAAAGAAAATAATATTGTTGTTTATTGAGGATAAAATGATATATATTTATAAACAAAATTAAAATTAATCTTTTTAGATTAAAAGCAAACGCATACCCTCGGTTGCGTGAAATCTCTTTTTTAACTGCGCACTGTAGTTGGGTCATCATAGCAACACTCTCCCAGATCCCTTAAAATATGCACCTTCATTATTTTATTTCTAAATTCTATAAACACTTTCTACTGCTCAAGGCTTTAATAAGCGCCGGCCGGCATGTATTTACTCCTGCAATATCTTAAAGAGACCTCCTCATTAGTCAACTGATCCTTAACAAAATGTAATTTATGTCTATATGATGTGAAATTTACTGCCAGTCATTACACCTGCAATATTCATAGCGGGTTGATTATCTATTTTTACTGTTTGCTGGCTACAATGAGCTCTAGTTAGCTTAAAAGGGTTTGCATCCCTCGAAAATAACTGACACAGGAAGAGAGAGCGATATATTCCGCCTCACAAAAGACAGGGTAGTAAGCTATCGTTTCGAGCCCCAACAATCGGACACTCGTTAAAGCCTAATAAAATTCCACTTCTGATTATTTTGTCACTCTCAGACGCAAAACGAGCATTTGAAAATATAGCGAAAGTTAACTCACACTCTTTTAAAGTGGTTAATTTGTCCTTTGGGCCCCAGAGATATTCAAAGTATCTTCTTTCCTATCTTCCAGTTTTCCACGTCAAGCATACTTAGTTGGAGCTAAGTTAGCCATTCTGTGTTCATATAATGTATACCATTACTTTGTCTTTCGGCGATGGTTTTTAACCGATAACTACGACAACTGTTCCGATAGTTCTTCACAGTCATCCATAAGCAAAGCTTTCTTTTTATTGTATGAAACTGCCTTTTCCGTATCAATAGAGTTTTTCAACACAATAAATAGTTAGAATATTCAGGAAGTGTCAAGACCTTTCCATCTAGATATATTTCTTCGCCGACAAATATGACTTTAGCTGTTAATCTCTTGACTGTTTCTTGAGTGAGTTTAAAATTTTTAACGAATATTTTTTTATATTAAAGGCTTTAAGTTAATTAGCCTTAATCATAACACAACCCAATTCCGCTCGCTACAATCTTCTCGTAACAATTAAGTTAGCTAAAATTTGCGTCCACGAATACAGGAAAGATAAAACCTGCTTCAAGACGAAGGCCTGCTAAAAGTTTTTGTCAATTTTAAGAGCAACTGTTCCCAGCCGAGCATCTCTAACATAACTGAAGCCCCAGTTAGCTAGCTATTGAACCTGCGTCTCTCCTCATTCACTTCTATTGTAAAACATATTGGTTGCGGTATTATAAATTTGATAACAATTTTCCTTTTTTTTTTTACGATCGCCCTATATATATTAACTAAATATTTCATTTCTGTTTACAATCACAAGTGAAGGCGGAGATCTTAGTTAATGCAACAAACTGTATACAACTTAAGGAAAAAAAGTACAAAAAATAAGTGCAATGAAATACGGGCCCTTTCAAGTGTTTTAATAATCAAAACTCATTACTATAAATCGTCTTTACTGATTAAGGCGGATTTTATACAAACAAAATTTTCCTAGAACTATATTCCTTTCCCATATATTTCGTCATTAAATAAAATAATTTTGCTCGTCTCTTACATTTTTCCGTATCATCATTTGTAAAACGGCGCATGGATTAGCTGTTACTAACATGTTTTTTCAAAATATGTTTCGTTCCTGCCGACATTTTTACTCCCAGTATAAAAATTTTGAGGGTCTCATTTAATTGTTTTCGTTCATGCTTCTCTACTTTTTTACCTATAATAGCCCCTTTACTTTTTAGTGTAGAAGATGTATTGTATTAAATACACATTGAGCGTTATGACTTGTGTAATTAAGTTGAATATTAAAGTTTTTAGTAAAAACCCTTCTTACTAATAATTCATTGTTTTGTAAAGCGAAGTTTTTACCTACATC